ATATATATATATATATATATATATATATATATATATATATATATATATATATATATATATAATTCGTTATGTGACTTGCCCCGACTCCTTAGATAACTAGCTACAATATTCAATCATTCTTAACTAATATTATTTTCTTACTGTTAGCCACAACCTTCAGCTATAATTAGTTATATCTAAACTCTCGACTATAAATAACCATAACAAATTTACTTAAATTTACTTAAATGATATTACCATAAAGTAGTCACCATACTTATCATTTATTCTCTCTCTCTCTCTCTCTCTCTCTCTCTCTCTCTCTCTCTCTCTCTCTCTCTCATAAAAACTATATATAAGCTAGTAGATAATACCTAAATAGGACATTTCACAGTACCTTAATAACTCGTGAATAATTTTTTTATTCTTGAAACATGTATTTCTAAACCCTAATCCGTTTTAAAGAATTTAAACTTATTGTACTAAAAGAAACTACATTGTCTTTAGAAATGATCTATAACGATAATATCAACACTTCCTCCAATGTTTTAGGATCCATGCAGTACATATTGGATCGTCAATGAATGTTATATCGATTCGACTTAGTTGACTTACATGCAACACTTTTACCCACATAACCGGTCACCGGAAATTTGAAGATGTTTTCACGATAGAGACGTTTCAAACGAAGTTCACAACGCAAAAAATGATGAGAAATAACTTTTTATCCGTACGAAGCATCCATTTCATTTTCACGAGTCTCAAAGTCGGTCCTAGACTGCATGATCTTTTGTTGGTATAAGTTCAAAATGTGATCATGTGGTAGGACGGACCACCGTATATGATATTTTAGTGAATAACTAAAAAATCATCAGTGTCAAACTAAAATTCGTAGACGATAAATCTTTTGACGATGATATGATGAATAGACCTGTCATATAAGATTTTTTTAGTGGACGACTCATAAATTGAAACTTCTATATTAAATTGTGAGTTGTTATATTAAAAATAAATATTATTGAAAATACTAATTGACTTTAAAAGTTTGCAACTATTAACATGATCCGGAATAAAACATATTACATTATTGGAATAGAGACAATACATATTCAAAGGACAAAAAACGTCATTTTATTTAATTTCTATACTTTTTTTTACCTTATAATTTTATATTTTATAGATTAAAACTTGAAAATAATTGACAAAAAGGATAACTTTAATCATTGAAATTTTGTTCTGTAAAGACTACCGTTTCAATTTCCCCCCTTCACTCTCAAATTTTCCCTTTTCCTACTTTGCCGTTGCTCATATATACTCCCCATCTTTCACTACTAGAGAGTGATGTGACAGACACCGTCGCCGGCTATATTTCGCCGGAGAATGGCATATATGTGCACAGACAGCGGCAATTTAATGGCCATAGCCCAACAAGTTATTCAGCAAAAACAACAACAAGAACAACAGCTTCATCAACAGCAGCAACACCAGCAGCCATTAGTCACTGTGAACGTAAATCCATTTTGGAGCACCACCGGCCACCAATCTCCGACTCTTGCATACGGATTTTCCGATCCGTTTGAAGGAAGTGCGGCGGATGTGACCGGAGCCGAAGAGGCGGCAGGATTTCAGTTCCCGAACCTAGATCACCATCACCACCAGCATCCAGGGTTTAGGTTCGCTGATTTTGTGGCGGCGTCAGGATCGGTGGGGGAGTTCGACACCGACGAGTGGATGGAAAGCTTAATAGACTCGACGACAGAGAGTTCGACATGGCAACCGAGCTCGGACTTCACTCTCTACGCCGCCGATCCGTTTTCCGATTGTCCGAGTCGACTCACTTGCTCAACGGATCTAAAAAATGCTAACTCTACTTGGCCGCCACCGCCGCCGCCAGTACTGGCTTCCGATCATCTGCTACCGCCTGAGAAGGAAATAAAGCCTCCGAAAACGGAAAAATCTCCGCCATCAAAACCGGATATTGCGTCTACCAGTTCACCAGAGAGGATTTTGACAAAACCCTTGCTCAAAACCCTAACTGATTGCGCTCGAGTCGCCGAAACAGATCCCGGAAATGCAATCACACCATTGATTCGCCTCCGCGATTCTCTATCGGCTGACGACGGAGATCCTACCGAGAGAGTAGCGTTCTACTTCGCCGAAGCACTCCACAGTCGCGTCACTCGGAAACCGCGAGCAGTTTCCGATATAACGTCACGGGAGGAGTTCACTCTCACTTACAAAGCTCTGAACGACGCTTGCCCTTACTTCAAGTTCGCTCACCTCACTGCAAATCAAGCAATCCTTGAAGCAACAGAAAACGCCGATAAAATCCACATCGTCGATTTTGGGATAGTTCAAGGAGTTCAATGGGCAGCACTTCTTCAAGCCCTAGCAACCCGACCCGCCGGAAAACCAACTCGAATCCGAGTCTCCGGTATTCCAGCGTTAATACTAGGAGACTCGCCGGCTCCGGAGCTTCTCGCAACCGGGAACCGCCTTCGTGAGTTCGCGAAGGTTCTAGATCTGAATTTCGAATTCGAACCCATTTTAACTCCGATCGAAAAACTCAACGTGTCAAGCTTTTGGATCGATGCAGATGAGTTTTTAGCCGTTAATTTCATGCTCCAGTTGTATAATTTGCTCGACGAGAACTCCATAGCCGTTGAGAAAGCTTTGAAGCTGGCGAAATCTCTGAACCCGAGTATCGTCACTTTAGGCGAATACGAAGCGAGTTTGAATCAGGTAGGCTTTCTTCAACGCTTCAACAACGCCCTAAACTACTACTCAGCTGTCTTTGAATCTCTTGAACCCAACATGACCCGAGACTCGCCGGAAAGGTTGGAGGTGGAGAGATCGTTATTCGGCCGGCGAATAGCAGCGGCGGTGGGGCATGAGGAAGAAGGAAGCAAAAGGGAACGGATGGAGGGGAAAGAACAATGGCGGATAACAATGGAAAATTCCGGTTTTGAAACAGTAAATTTCAGCAATTATGCAGTGAGTCAAGCCAAGATTCTGCTATGGAGTTACAATTACAGTGAAATGTATAATTTGATCGATTCTCATCCTGGGTTTCTATCGCTTGCTTGGAACGATGTACCTCTTCTCACTGTTTCTTCATGGCGTTAATTTTTTTAGTATCTTTTTTCTTGTGAAATTATAATCTTCTCTTCTTTTTTTTTTTGCTAATGGTGTAATGGGGTACAGGTAAAACAGTTAGATCCGCCATTAATGGTGTTTTTGAATATTTTTGTATGGGATATGATGATGAAGCCTGGTCGTTTAGGAAAAGCTGATATTATATCAGCCATTTTGCAGCTTATGCTTTTGGTAATGATGATGATGATGATGATGATATAACTGGTCAAAGGTGAAGTCTATGTGGATTATTTTATTAAACTCGAAAAACCTCCGAAATATCGAAGTAATATGGATCGAAAATGTAGCCTTTTTTAGGACAAACAAACACTGTCGTAGGTGAAGTCTATGTTGAAGATTGATCATTGTTTTTGGTTCGACAGTCTTTGACGATTTAGATTTGATGGGTAAGGCTGAAGGGTGTGGGCGCGGTCCCAGACCGCAGTTTGTGCCACGTCAACCAAGAACACCGCCCCTAGAACGCGGTCTGGTGCGGTCTTGGCCGCAGTGCGGTCTTTAAGTGCCGCGTTTTCTGATTGGTGGGTGGGAAAATGGGAGGATTGACCGGTTGTTGGGTAATTAATTTTTTTTTTTGCTTTTTCTTTCTTATATATACATATCTAACTTCATTTTTTTTTTCACAACACAATCTCTTCTCTCTCTCAAAAAAAAATTTTAAAAAATCAACACTCTCTCAAAAATGTCATCTTCTTCATCTTTTGAAGAATTTCAGACTATTTTTGATACCGCTATTGCGTGTGTTCAAATGGCGGAACATTTTTTTTTTTTTTTGGTAATGCAATGTAATATTTTTTTAAATTTTCAAGTAATGAAAAATTATGTTTTTTTATTAAAATAGAAGTTTTATTAAATTAAAATAGTTAAAAAAAAAAAGAAGTTTTATTAAATTAAAATAGTTAAAAAAAAAAAAAAAAAAGTGTGGCACCACTCCCTTGGTGTGGCAAGAAACCACACTTGAGTGGTAAAAAATGACATGACGCTTATATGGCGGGAAAGGGAGTGCGGTTTCGGTAGCACCACACCCTCCAGCCTAACTATTCGTTGGTTGTGATGTCAAGAGAATCAAAGTTAGTTGATAATCCATTGAGTTTATAAATCTTGCTCACTCCGAATAAGTTGCTCATAATAGGAAAAGGTGTCGTCGAGGTTCCTTTGTATGGATGTTGAGGCTTCAAAAAGATAATCCAAATTGTTTTTTGTACCTTTGAATGGAATAACGTATGTATACCCTTTATGATTTAATAATTTATGTGAATAAGCGTAAACGTGATACGTATAGTAGCACCCTTCAAAAATGATGCCCGAAAGATCTAGAGGTAGAGTTGTGTAAAAACTTTTTGTAAGTATCTAGAATATGATTGTTTAAAAGATGTCTATGTATTTACTTGTATCATTGTATTTGGAGAAGACTGTATATTCATGCTATCTGGAATATATATTACAGACGCCACCCTTGTCCACTTGACAACAACCATTATCCATGAACATAATCATGGTAGTTGGTAGTTGTCGTGGTCATTTGTAGCGAAGAGGACGAACCACAACGTCCAATTACTTTCTATCTCTCTCCATCTCTCTCTACTTCCCTTTATATTTTAAATAATTAAAAAATATTTTTATCTAAATAAAAAAAAATAAGATGGATATAATGATGTGGCACTAATGGTGGGAATATCAATCGTTAGTAGTTGTGTGTTGTGATAAGGTGATAGTGATGTGACACCCATCATATTCATGGTTTGTGGTAAGAATGATATTTAAAATCGGAAAACCGGATTGGAACCGAAATCGTTAGAACCGGTCCGGGTTTCAGATTTAAAGAATGACTTTATCCGGGTTTCGGGTCCCGATAAACCGGGTTTAAGAACCGGAACCGGTGTTAGAAACTGAAACCGGTTTTGTGAAAAGTTTAAAACATGCATATCTCATTTGTTTGAAGTCAGATTATTATGTGGTTTTTTCCAACGTGTATTTTAAAGTTTGTGCATGATTTTAGACTATAGTTTTATCATTTTTGGTTTAATATTCAATGACTTATAGTCCCCCGAAGTCAAGATATCAAACCTGTAAATTTTCAAAGTTCAACCGACTAAATAATTACCAAAAAATTCTGGTTTTCCCGGGTTTTCCGGTTTTAAACCCACTTTACCCAGTTCCACCCGACCAACTTTGATGTTTCTGGGTATTTCGATTCTAAACCAAGTTTACCCGGTACCTTACCCGAAACCGGTTCATATACACCGGTCCGACTTCCGACCCTACAAAATCCCGTTAACCGGTTCCCGGGTTTTCCGAGTCCGGGTCTGTGAGAACTAGAAAATTTTGAGGCAAACAAAGTCTAAAGAGGTCTTGTATATAAGTGTACCCACAACGTATGTGTATGTAACCTTGTTGTAATAGAACTTTGAAAGTCAAGAAGGATT